AACCAGGGCCGCTGGCGGGGCTCCGAAGGAGTTAAACTGAGCTGGGGTGACCAAGTTTCCCTTGTCATAAAAAAAAAAAATTGTTGAAACCAACAAGATATTATACATGGAAATATCCAAAATTTTTTAATATATTATGATAATCATAAACTTTTTTTACAAACATGTTATAGTAAATAAATAAACTTTAAAAAAATAATTTAGATATTTGACCACGTGCAATGCACGTGCATTCCACCTAGTAACAACTAAAAGATTCTATTTTAATACAAAAAGTAATTACAAACGGGGCCCACACATAACTATCCAAATTTATTAATTTCTTTACAAACAAACAATCTTCCACTATCCGACCAACCAAACTGAAAATAAAAATTTTAGATTATTAAAGCTTTCTTAGATTGTCATAAATCCTAAATACAAATCCAGTAGCCGAACAATTCCTAAATTGTTTTTTGGGTGTGCGGCTGAGACTACCAAGGCTCAAATACCATGTCAAAATGAGAAGATTTGGGAAATGTAAATATGTTACTTTTAAATATATAGATGTGCATAAAACTGCTTCTCTACACATAGCCCGATGTGAGCCTAAACCGAGGATTAAACTATGACTTAATACAATTGTATTTATATTTACTTTAAGCACATAGAAGTTTAATAGACAAATGGACTACACTGAGAAGTTATAAACGAGGTTTCTTTTTGTCTTTTTACTCCTGGTGCACGTTCTACATTGCATAGAAAAAAATATAGAGACGGGATGGTCGCATCTTCCATTAATTTATAGACAACATTGCAATCTAAATCTACACAAACGCATCTGAGAAGAAAAAAAGCACTGAGAAATTAATCGATTCATCAAGAATCACCCAATGGAGGATACTCTTTCATCTTCATCGCTGCTTCCTCACATTGATCTCACCAAGGATCCAAAGGCTCTGGAGCCAGGGACTCCTCAATGGGAGGCCACATCCCGGGACATCCGCCAAGCCCTGGAGACCTACGGCTGCTTCTTGGTGGACTATGACTCCGTCTCCCGCGAGCTGCGGGAGGCTATGTTTGAGGAGATGGAGTCTCTGTTTGCTCTTCCGGCCGAGACTAAGCGCAAGGCGGCCGAGGGATTACCGCGGACATCTGTGGTGTTGCCCGGACAAGATCCAGACGCGTACGCGCCACTGCACCAAGTGCTCACTACTGTGGGCGTGCAGGAGCCTGAGGTTGCTCAGGCTCTGACGGAATTATTGTGGCCTGATGGCAACGACAAATTCCGGTAATTTATCAAATAAAGTTAATTTACGAGTTCTAGCTAGTGATCTCTTTTTTTGCTTTCCTCTTTATTTTGTTAGGACAGTAAAAAAAAGGAAGGCTCCAGGTTTCATCTAGAACTTGTTGGGATTTTTAAATCTCGTAAAAACCCCGAAAACCACCAAACACAGCAAATAAAATCACACGAGATTTAACATGGAAAACATTCAATAGGGAAAAACCATAGAATCAAAATCAATCCACTATCACATCTAAATAACAATCTTTTGAATGGACAAAGACTACGAAACACTCTCCCAATGATGTAATATTTTGCACGGATAAAAACTATACGAAACCCTCGCCCCTCGCACAATATTCTTGAATCAGGTTATGCCATCTGCTAACCCTAGATTACAAGAATATTGGCTCTCTCTCATCTGCTTGGTTTTTCCTCCAATAATTGAAGAATATATATAGGGAAACTAAAACCCTATCACTAGCCTAACTTCCTAATTAGAATAGGTTTCAAACTATCTAATCATGATGAGACACAATCTCCTAATCATGATAGATCTCTAACCCTATCTAATTCTCATGAAGTTATACAAAGAACCAAAGACATAATCCCAACAATCTCTACCTTAGATTTAATTCCCAAACTCCCTTGCAGATTTATCGTCGTCTTTAAACTTTGCTCTCCCACTAGAGTCTTCTATTCCTCTTCTATTCCTCTTCTATTCCTTTTCGCACTTCAAATCAAAGCACTTGCACTTCTAATCAGAACACTCGCACTCCAACTGGATGCCCATATGACCCTCACTTTTATCTGCCTCGCTGTGGCGCCTCCACCTCTCTTGTGCGCACTAAGAGATCTTCGCCACCTCTAACATTAGAAATAAATTAACCATGCTTCTCCTCCCAATCTGAACTTGATAGTAGCCTTCTCCCACTTGCTTTCATCGTACTTCACCTACATCGCTTGTCTCGAATCATATTAGTGCACCTCTCCTACTCCATACTACGAGCTAGATGCCTCCATCTCCTCCATCACTTGGTTTGGATCGAATATGAGCGCTAATCGTCTTCAAGTCCAATGCCACCATCTCAATCTCCCTTGCGTCACTCGGTCATGCCCGCTTGCAAGCTCCATCTAATCTGAGACTGTCCACCTTGAGTGTACACACCAACCAACTACTGCTCCCGCGATGACTGAATAATTATATGCTGACGAATAATCATGGATCGTCGAATTAAACAAAACACCAAACACCACAAATCAACCAGCACCAGATCAACATGAAATCCCAGCCACATGATTGTTACCTTTCCTTCTCTCATAAATCTCGCTGACCTATGCTATAACAATTTCTCCTTTTCCATTTTTTTTCATGCGGACCTCACCTAACTAAATCCTCTCAAGAATTCTTCCAAGCAACTCAGCCATCTTGTTACGCCTGCTCCTCTTATTGCCAATTCATCTCCACGTAAGTCCATTGTCGGTGCAAGCCTCAGCCAGTGACTAGTTGCACGTCCTCAACACTACGACTCACAGTTGCGTTCGCCTGCATACTTCACCGTCGGATACTTCATCCCTCAGGCGCTCTCCTCCGAACGATTAGTCGCCGTGAAATCCTCCTGTTGGCAATGGCCGTTCCTTCCCTTTTTTCTTCGTCTTGATTCTTGTAATGTCGATCTTCAATCTTGTACGACGTCGTCTTCTATCTTGCGAACTCGCTCCCTGATCCATCAACATAGCTCTGATACCACTTGTTAGGATTTTTAGATCTCGCAAAAACCTTAAAAACCACCAAATGTAACAAATAGAATCACACGAGATTTAACGTGAAAAACCTTCAATAGGAAAAACCACGGGATCAAAATCAATCCATTATCACCTCCAAATTACAATCTTTTGAATTGACAAAGACTGTGAAACCCTCTCCTAATGATGTAATATTTTGCACGGATAAAAACTATGAAACCCTCGCCTCTCGCACAACAATCTTGAATCTGGTTATGCCCTCTGCTAATCATAAATTATAAGAATATTGACTCTCTCTCATCTGCTTGGTTTTCCTCCAACAATAGAAGAATATGTATATGGAAATCAAAACCCTATTTCTAGCCTAACTTATTAATTAGAATATGTTTCAAACCCCTAATCATGATGAGACCTACTCTCCTAATCATGATAGATCTCTAACCCTATCAAATTCTCATGAAGTTATACGAAGAATCAAATACACAATCCTAATAGAACTATTTTAATTAGTTCTTACGTAACCCTAAATTATTGAACTTGTCTATTGTGCTTATCAGCTCAATTATCTCAATCCCACATTACCTCTTATACCATTATATTCGTCCATGATTACCCTTCTAACTATCACTTTAAATACCCGATTTCAATTTCTAGTTAATTGCTTTGTGCATGTTTGAAGTGCATTTATGATAAGAAAGTGATAGATCAGAGGGAAGGTGGGATAGTAGTTCGCGTATGCTGTGGTTTTTGTTAGTTCTTCCTTTTTTTTTGTCTGGTGGTTTTGGGTTTTTATTTTTTTTTATTTTTATTTTTTTTATTTTGGGGGGG